TTGTAAAGACTGAAGAGAAATATTTCGAAAACATTCCTGAAAAAATTTTCTAAATACAATAGGTAGTTAGTTATATGGATCCGAAAAAATGGCCGTTTGACCAAAATGTCAAAATTCTAGACCCTCCAACTCGGAGTGTGTTTGACCGATCCCATTGAAATTTTGTGTCATAACTACTATTTTTTAGGACTAACCTTGGTGCAAATTTCATCCCGATCGGAAGACATAGATTTCAAAAGTTGGGTCACTTGAGGTGAAATGCCCCATATATTTAATACTTGCGCCGGGTATTTAATGTTCGGCTCCGCCCGAACTTAGACTTTCTTACTTGTTAATGTGTTGATAATATTCGGCACCATGTCGGGCAATTCCAGCAGATTACGCACAACTTCTCTGGCTTTTCCCCTCAAACATTTCTGCAAGCGTATTAGGTTTTCATGGTTAGAGAAACCTGCAAGTGCAGAACTTTGCTCATAAGCGCTGATAAATATGTGCCATTCATCAGGGTCTCCGTTAAACGTCGGCAAGTCTCGTGGCACACACTGCCGCGATGCTAGTTGCATTGATGTTATGTTATATTCGTTGTTTAACGTGCGCTGATGCGAAGTGTGCTTTGCACTTTGCATGTTTGATATAGAAAAGTTTGAAAAATCCCTTTGCGCACTATAGACACCATCCACTTGCTGGTTGTCAATTTCTATACTCGCCGATGTAGCGTTTGACGCGATATGCACATTGTCAGCTACGACGGTTCCTGATGCTTGTGGAACGCCGATATCGCCAACGTTGCTTTCATCCCCTGCTTCTACACTCAAAATCCGAAACTTCTCTTTCAAGTATTCCTCTTTTAGACGCATTGTCTCCTCAAGCTGCTGCCAACGAAGTTGTGTTGCTTTACTAATGCTAAGCTGGTCTTGCGGCGCGCGTACATTGATGCTCTCTTCACCGGCAGATGTCTGCAAAGTTTGTGAAGGAGGCGATACGGGCAAAGTTAGGTTATGCACGCTATCAATTTGCGCTGCTGCAAAAGTCCACCAAGTTCTAAGAGCTCGTTTTATTTAATAAAGAATGTAAATATCGAACGGCGCCCACAATGTAGTGAAGATTAAAGTGAGCAATTAAGTGTTCTAGCGAGCTTTAAAAATCTAAAATGTTTACAAATTCAATTTACATTTTTATTTATAACATACAAGTTCAGTTTAAGTTTTTTACCTTAGTTCCTTTGTAAGTTTAATAAATTTTTCTAACTTTAAGTTGACTTTAGTTAAATTACCATGTGAACGCAGGCGAGGATAGAAGCAAAAGAAATAATATGAAGAATAAAGGAAATAAGCGCGCATGGAGGTTTGAAAAGATGACAAGATGATTACGCAGGGTTGCATTTGAGCGGCTACTCTACGTAGTTTGTTTTATCGGCAACAATACCATTACCACTGTTACTGATATACTACAATTATATACAACATTGTTCTAATATAATATCAGTCTTAAGCTATGCAACTCTGTTATAATACATACATAAAAGGCAGTGAAGTAAAGTAACTCTGACATAGAACACGACAATAAGGTGGTGGGGGTAGTACAAAAACAAAAACTTATATGTATTTTGCTTTAGTTTCGGTACACAAATGTCAAATTTCATCTATCTTGGCTCAAGGAAGAAGAGGGAAAGAAAATTGCAACTCATAAGAAATTTTGACACATGTGTACCGAGGCGAATTAAATCAGCTGATCTAGCAACACCACCTTATATAAATTCGCCTTGCTTCGAAGTTAGACGAACAGCTGATAGAAATTTTGTTTACATTCGAAAGTAAAAAGGAAACAAATCCCGAAGTCTTATCCTGATACACTTCACTGACTAAACAAACAATAATAATCGCAACGGTTTTAGCCTCCTCTCCCGTCCGTCCGTACGAGGGGCGTAGTCCGCATGACGTACGGAACCATTATTTTGAATTTTTGCACCGAGTCACGAAAGGCAAGAATTTGTTAAGTGTCGAGATCTAAAACTGTTCAGCTAATGAACTAAATTCATCAGCTGATTTTATGTGTTTATGTAAATAATTCATTTATTGAGAAAGGAAAGTATCGCTTTCTTAATACTGAAAAGCGGATCTGATATATCAAACGTACTGGAATGAGAGTTAAAATCCTGGCATAAGAAACAGAGCGGGTCGTGCAATTCAAAATTAGTTTTACAGGCTTTCAGAAATAGGGAACAAAAGTGTCTTGATACACAAGAGGGAACATTAAAGTTAACATCAGGCAGAAGAGACGGACTTGAAGTTGAGCCTGTCAGTAATTTAACCATAAAAATTATACCAAGCATTTCCCTACGACTGACAAGTGTATGAAGGTTAATAATTTTTAAGTGACTCGTATAAGTACTTACTTCTTACAAGTTTAATTAGTCGCATTTTACTATTTTAATTTAATTCAATTTAGGGATTTGGGTAAATTCCAACCTGCTGTTTTTGATCAGCTGTTTTCTTGTTGGCAAATTGCTGTTGCCAAAAATTTTCCCAGCAGAAACTAGCAGCTTTCCCTCAAAATGAAATGTCATTTTGCTCTTTCAATTTTCCCTATTTTGCAAGTGTTTTGCGTACGCGAACTCGAAAAGCTGATAGTTTTTATAACTTTCAATAATTATCAGGTACACGAATGCAATTGTGAACGTTATTTTGACTTTACAAATTTCATCGTAGAGCAGGTACAAAGACTCACAGTTATACGTTGTACCAACAATTTAAAATATACGGCACGCAGCTGTTTTCAACAGCGGATATTTTAAATCTTGTACCTGTTGCCGGAATTCAAGGCAATGGTAAAGCTTCATGTTGCATTTCCAGTGCCTTATCTTTTTTAATTCCAAAAACTCCAACTCTTCTTCGCTTGTCTTAAAAAGGATTATTCGGATATTGTAAATTCATCCTCAATTATGTTACATAAACAAGTAATTTTTAGCAAAAAAAAACCGACTTCAACTCTCATATAAAAAAAAAATATATATATATATATATCTCATGATCCGCTGATCGGATCTTAACCAGATTAGTATGGGACCACCTCTGAGACACTACCTTTCCGAAGCAAAAAGAATTATCGGTTGACGTGGTCCAAAGTTATGCGGTAACATACATTAAAAAAAAAAAAAATATTCCGACGAACTGATAACCTCCTCCTTTTTTGGAAGTCGGTTAAAAAAGGTTTCTGAAGTATGCAAACGTACATTTAAATAATTTCAAATCGGCAAATCTTTTTTCAAAATGTGGTTTTAAATCATGTGCAATATTTTACATTTATTTTTTTTATTACGTAGTTGAGCTTCAAAACTTAAAATAATTTGCGCCAAATCAAAAACATTTTTATTCTCTCCTTGTAGAGACAAATTCAAGTCTTGCAAATTTTCCATCATATCGGTAAAGAACATTAAGTCAGAAAGCCAATTTTCAATCTCCAATTGCAGGTAATGTTCCGATCTCAATTTTCGTGTGTGTGTATATAAAGAATAAATTAAAAAAACTACACAATGGAAAAGAATGTCCAGCAACTAAATATATATTCTAAAGTGTAAAAAGAGCCAAAATGTTCCAAGAAAAGAGAAAGTAACAAGTAATTTTTAGCAAAAAAACCGATTTCAACTGTCATATAAAAAAAAATATATGTATATATCTCATGATCCACTTATCGGGTCTTAACCAGATTAGTATGGGACCACCTATGAGGCATACCGCATAACTTTGCACCACGTCAACCGATTTCAATAATTTTTTTTTTGCAACGGAAAGGTAGTGTCTCATAGGTGGTCCCATACTAATTTGGTTTAGATCCGATCATTGGATCATGAAATATATAGATATATATATTTTTTTTTTAAGTGGATTTTTTTTTGCTAAAAATTACTTGTAATTATTTATATTTGAAATACATACTTGTAGGCTCATTACGACTTTCCCAGGTTATTCCAAGCATGGGAATGAAAATACTAGATTTGCATGTGCACTAAAAACGCGCTTTCACATGGAAATGTGAATATTACATAATCAAATTTATCAACTGAACAAAATATTATAATTTTTAACTTCGAACTTAATTTTCGGAAAAATCCGGGACTCTTTGGAAACTCCGGGCAGGAGGAAAACACAACCCTATTACACCAAGAATATCTTCTTGCCATGGCCTTAGATTTTGCTGCATGTGATGTACCAAACTGGAAAAAATATAAAAAATGGTACATTTCGAACAAAATCGCAACCATTCTACGAATCATAAAATTAATAAACTTTCTAAAGCGCAATTTTCTCGGCCAGTCCGGATAATCAAGGGAGCGTTTGTTATAAAAAAAAGAAATAAAGCCTTTAAATTGCCAAACATAAAAGAATTTGCTAAAAAATGATTTCAAGAAACAAATCGTCGATGTTCTTGCAAACCCGCCCATCGATCAGTTGCAAAACCGCCTACCTTACTGCATTCAAATTTTTCAGTAGTGCGAAAAAACGGGTTTTCTTTGAAGACATTGCTAGACGGTATTTTCTCTAGCTATTATTTTAAAAAATCTGTTGTTTTAATTACGATTTCGGTGATATCAGAAGAATTGTGGAAATATGTAATGTCATTGACATTAGTACAGAATTGAAAAGTGAATTAATGTCAGAAATGTTAAAAATCATGCAAGCTTTACGGTGACGTGTAATAAGGCGCAGGGGAAATAACGCCCATGGACATTATTTCTTATCCATGTGACTGGTTAATTTTTTATTTTTTAATTCATAAACGCTACCCCATATTATTGTTATTTGTGATAAAAAAAGGTTTTTAGAGGTTGCGCTGATCAGTTTTTTATAAAAACGCTGATGTTCTAATTTTTTTTCGTGACATGTTAAAATGAAGCTAAAAATAATGTTTTTATATGTAATTACTCTGTATTATTCGGGAATATTCCCGTAATGAAATACCTGGCTTGGACAGTTAGAATGGGACTAGTGCCCGAAAATATGCTTTCAAAAAGATACTAATAAGATTAAAACGTTGATACTGGACGATTAACCCATTGTCATGGGTTGGAACTTGTTACAAGGGCTTTGCTAATTAGGAATCTGAAGTCAGTTTTTCAAAATTCAAAATGGGGGATCCAAAATGGCGATAAATTAAAAAAACTGATTGGATTTGTTCGAAACTCGTTACTTGGGAGTTTTTTGGGTCGCTGATTACGAATCTGAGGTAATTTGTTTAAATTCAAAATGGCGGATCCAATATGGCTATCAAATTCTTAAAAAATTACTAAAATTAAAACGTTGATACTGAACGTTTTAAGCCTTGTCATGGGTTGGAACTCATTACCAGTTGGTTTCTGGGGTTTCTGATTACGAATCTGATGTAAATTTTCAAAATTCAAAATGGCGGATCCGAGTTTCAAACAAATCCAATCATTTTTTTTTAAGTTGATCACTATATGTGTATATGGTCATAGTTCTACATACAGTAAGTACGTGTGATTTTAGACAAATAAACAGTTTGAAGTACTTATACTTAAGAGCAAAATACACCACAAAAGCGGCTTGACAAACCAAGCGAAATATCCCATTGCCTCAAGCCATTTGTGTCGTATATGTGGGTGTTTGAAGGTTTGACAAGATGCCTGCGTAAATTTGAACAAAACTTCAAAATCTTTGTGTTAATTTAAACGTCATACGTGTTTGGATTTCTATTCCAGCTGCTACGAGATATATTGTAAACCAGAGCAACTATAGGCATCTCCTATATAACTATTTTCAGAATAGCTTTCCCTGGGCATCTACTTTAGCGCTGAGTTTAACTAAACTTTGTTTTTGTCTTTGTTCTTGTAATTGATTGTCGGCCGCTGTGGTGTAGTGGTAAGCAGTGCCCGCTTTCACTCCGCAACGCGTGGGTTCAAACCCTGGTCAAAGCAACATCGCAAAAATATAGAAAAAAGGATTTTACTTAACAGCGGTCGTCCCTCGGCAGGCAATGGCAAAACCTCCGAGTGTATTTCTGCCATGAAAAACAGCTTCTCATAAAAATACAATCGCCGTTCGGAGTCGGCGTAAAACTGTAGGTCCCTCCGCTTTGTGTGACAACATCAAGGCGCACGCCACACATCGGAGGAGAAGCTCGCCCAAACACTAACATATGTGTAAGCGCCAATCTATTATTATTATTATTATTATTGTAATTGATTGAGGATTTAGTTAGTTCTTACTTAATTTGTAATTAGGCGATTCACAAGATCGCCGACATTAAACGTCGTAAAATATCCCTGTAGTCAAATGTACTAGTTGGAAACTACCTCACAACTAGTATGAACCGCATGCCCAACTAGTCAGCCAACTATCTTTTTTGCATGCAATCAACTGATATTTATACCCGAGCGCACTTATGCACAAGGGTATATTAATTTTGTTCACATAACGGTTGTTTGTAACAGCCAAAACGAATCGAGATAGATATAGACAAATGTATACATAAATGATCAGGATGAAAAAAGAAATCGATTAAGCCATGTCTGTCTGTCCGTCCGTCTGTCCGTCTGTCCGTCTGTCCGTCTGTCCGTGTACACGATAACTCGAGCAAAAATTGAGATATCTCAACGAAATTTGGTATGTAGGTTTCCCTTAATCCAAGGTAGGTTGGTATTGAAAATGGGCGAAATCGGACTTTAACCACGCCCACTTCCCATATAACGGTAATTTCCAGAAATACGAAAACTGCGATATTTTAGTAACTACTGAAGATAATTCACTCAAAATTGATATTTACAATAATTTTTAGACGAAAAATAAGAATATTATAAATTTTTGGAAAATGGGCGTAGCTACGCCCACTTATGGTTAAATGTGAATATCTTGGTAAACGCTGCACCGATTTCTTCTAAACTTGGCGCAGTTGTTGGCCTTGATACAGCATACTAAATGGCCGAAAATTTAGAAAATCGGACAATAACCACGCCCACATCCCATATAACGGTAATTTTCGGAAATACGAAAACTGCGATATTTTAGTAACTACTGAAGATTATTCACTCAAAATTTATATTTACAACAATAATTAGAATATTATAAATTTGTGGAAAATGGGCGTAGCCACGCCCACTTATGGTTCCACGTGTACACTTGGTAACCGCTGCACCAATTTCTTCCAAACTTGGCACAGTCGTTGGGCCTTAGTACAGCATACCAAACGGCCGAAAATTAAAAAAATCGAACAATAACCACGCCCACGCACATTTTCCAAAAATGTATCATATTCTTATTTTTCGTCTGAAAGTTGTTGTAAATATCAATTTTGAGTGAATTATCTTCAGTAGTTACTAAAATATCGCAGTTTTCGTATTTCTGGAAATTACCGTTATATGGGAAGTGGGCGTGGTTAAAGTCCGATTTCGCCCATTTTCAATACCAACCTACCTTGGATTAAGGGAAACCTACATACCAAATTTCGTTGAGATATCTCAATTTTTGCTCGAGTTATCGTGTACACGGACAGACGGACAGACGGACAGACGGACAGACGGACGGACAGACAGACATGGCTTAATCGATTTCTTTTTTCATTCTGATCATTTATGTATACATTTGTCTATATCTATGACGATCCGTTTCGGCTGTTACAAACAACCGTTATGTGAACAAAATTAATATACCCTTGTGCACAAGTGCGCTCGGGTATAAAAATGTTAAGTTTAAGATTTTACGACGGTTAACACGTCTTGTGAATTTACTAAATATATTGAAAATTGTACTATAGAAGAAGTCTCATTGTACTAATGAAAAATTATTAAAATAATGAATAAACTAATTTTCTGGCCGCCATGTTGATATTTGATCAAACGGCTTGCGTTTTGTATGGTAAAATCGCCTCATTTGCAATAGAATTTTCAACGAGTGAGGACGTAAGAGAGATAAATGGAGGAAACCCAAAATTTTTTACATTGTGAACCGAAAGAAAACTAAAGATATTCGCTGGAAGGGGTCATGTTTGCATGATGTATGGCGAAATGGGTAAAGTAAGTTTGAAGTACATACATATCTCTGTAGGGAAACCCCGAACTGGTGAACCAAATTTGTATTCCCGTACTAGATCTTTATCGCCAAAAACGAACCAGTCCGATAGTAACTAGATCGCCACCAGTTCAAAAGCAGCGATATGTGGTACTTTTAAAAAACAATTTTAGAAATCTATATCTAAAATAACGAATTTAGAACAGGTTCAAAACTATAGAAAAAGGGACGCACAACGAACTAGACCTCATTTGGCGAATTTGAACTAGTTCGAAACTACTGAAAAAGCGGGGGCTTGTTTACTTTAAATAGATTTTTGCTTGGCGGGTTTTTCGTTCAAATACGCTTCCAGTCTGCACGTCGCAGATGCTTTTTCATAGTTTGGTAATACAAAACTAATATTTGTGTTAACATCTTAAGATTATGGGGCCTTCTGGAATATACCCCATAACAGTCAGCACCTCTGCAAATTCAGCTACAGCCAAAGGTATGTAAACGTGTTTTCAAATACACAATTTAATTTACATTCATTCAAACAAATTTGATTTCAAATTGAAAATACATTTCTCTGCAAATAATAAAAATTGCTACCATGGTAACCCAAAAAGAAAACATCTTGTTACTTTTTTCGTTTACAACTGGTTCGAAACTATAAAAAATGGGGTGCAAAGCGAACTAGATCCCATATGTCGAATTTAGGACTGGTTCTGAACTATAGAAAAGGTAATGCAGCGGGGGACAATTTCCAATTCATATGACATCGCTGTGTTAAATTCGCCAGTTGCTTGCATGCAAAAGAGATTTATCGTGAACTAGTGGTTCTAAATGTACTAGGAGCGCACCAGTTCAAAACTAGAGATTTTCCCCACAGGGATGTTTAACAGGCCGCTTGTGTGGTGTATTTCGCTCTTTACACATGAAAACTT